AATTGCATATATGGAGCACTAAGACCACCTAATTCGAATATGTAAATCATATTATGAATATATCTGAATATTATTATTTTTAAATCTAAATTCCATCTAAGACGATCATGAATTTCTGTAATGGTAGATCTTGATGAATAAAAATTTAATGCTGATTAGATTATAATTTATTCGATAGTTATTCTAAATCTGAATAAATCGAATTTTTATTTAAAATAAATGAAACCGAAATGGAAGAGAAGATTGTCTTGATCTATAGGAGAATGATGAGGTTGTATGTCAATATAGAGCACTAAGACCACCTCCATTCATCGTTTGTTTGAATTCATTAAAATTGATCCTACCATCCCCATCCTCGTCCACTTGCCTTATCATCCTCTTACAATCCTCGATGCTTTTCCCTTGTTTAAGCCCGAGAGAAATCAAAACGGATCCCAACTAATCGACGGAAATGTAACCGTCTCCGTTCTGATCGAAAACCTTAAAAGCTTCTTTTATATCTTCGTCTTCATATTTATCACCCATAATGAATTGGTACAACTCACTGAACCCGTTGATATTGACACAATCATCGACGTCGAATTTTTCAATCATTTGAGTTAAGTCTCCTTCGGAAACGGAGATGCCCAAACTCTCCAACGACTCGGCTAAGTCCTTCTTTGTAATCTTTCCGTCTCCGTTCTTGTCGAACATTTGGAAAACCCTTTCTAACTCTATTCGGTCCATTCCAACAAAGATGTGGATGCCGACGTCGGTGTCGTCAAGATGAAAATGAACTAGAGAGGTATGTTTTCGATCGGGAAAAGATTAATCCAAGAATGATGAAGCAAGGATTTCAGTATCTTAGAAACCTAAAAAAATTCTAAAACTGATTGTTTGTATGGTTAGAAAGTCAACAAGAAAATACTTGGCATTGGAAGAGAAAAAGAACCCCTAATTTCCAAAATCAATGAAGGTTGTTCTCAATTCAATGGCGGGGAGAATATTTTGGAGAAAAATTAGATGCAAAGTTGAAGGAAAAGCACCACATTGTTAATATTAGGATTTATATATGTGTGTGTGTGTGATCTTATGCTTTTTTTAAGATTAAAATTTTGAACATATTTTTGGTAAAAATTCTATATTATTAAGATCCTTCCCCAACCATAATTCCATAAATGAATAATATTGAACGCTTAAGCACATAGGATTAAATGAATAATCAATATTAGTTAATGAGTGAATTGACGAGATTTTGAAATGCATGGGATTGATTGAGTGTTGAAAAAAATATCCACAAGTTTAATTGATTTTTTATAAGCTTGTGGCTTTTAACAACCACTCGAGTTTAAATTAAAGTTTCGGTATCATGTCAGTGGACTCGTTGCGTTTGGTTCAAATATTGGTTGGGGTGAGTATTTAATCGGGTTAAGTTGAGTCGAGTAAAAAAATGAGTTAGTCAAGTTACACGTTTTATTTGATCATTGAAACTTCATTTTTTAAAGTTTTTTCGATTCGAGTTTGTGAAATTCGAATAGAGTCAAGTTCTTTGAATTTATGTTCAAATTAAATTGCAATCATTTATAATATTCTGGTACATGTTGGTTCTAATTTGTCGACTTATTCTAATCATATAAGATATACATATATATTCCATCATATTCTTTTCACATTGTAACGTTATTTGATAAATCAAATAATATCTAAAATATAAAGTTATTTATAATATTATTTTTCAAAGAATGTATTTTAAAGATGAAGTATTGAGGAGTGTATAAAGAATCGTATAATTGATAGGAATCAATAATTTGCAGAAAAGAACAAAAATACAGGTAAAAGATCAAAAATAATAAAATAAAAAGTTGAGAGACTAAATTGTAAAACAAGCACATTTGTTGTTAAAATTAGGAATCGAAATTACATACATATTCTATAGTGGTAGAAGCATGTTGTTCAAATTTAGTCAAACTGGATTTAAAATGGAGGAATTGAAGGGAAAAAATGAGGAAATCCTACAATGCAGAAGGATTAAATTAACAAAATAGAAAATTTGTTGTAAAAAAAAATTAAAGATACATACGTATTTTAAAATATTTTAAGAACATATGATTCAAATTTGATAAAATGGACTTAAAGTAATGAATTGAAAGAATAAAGAAGTTACAGACTAAATCATAAAATTATCAAATTACTTAACTAAATTTTTTATTTTTCAGTTGACTTGAATTTTTCAAATTCAAACTCAAATTTTAAGTTACTTGAATAACTCGAAATTTACATAAGAACTTAAGTTTTATTTGAATTTTAAGTGTGAGTTGAATTTGAATTTACAAATTTTGAATAATTTAAAAATTAAAATTAAAATGATATCATTCGGTTTTGACTTAAATAATTTGATTATTTTACCATATGATCCTTAATTATATTGTTCTTCAATTTCTTTTTTTTTTTAAGTTTATTTATTTTTATCAAGATTGAATCGCATACTCTTCAACCACTATAGAATAAATGTGTAATGTCATTCTTCTTTTTGATAATAAATTTAATCTTTTCATAATTTTTCTTTAATATTGTATTTTATTTAATTTAATCTTCCAACTACCATTCTTTACAAATTCTTTCTTCCTATTAATTATTTCACTTCTTCATATCCCTCAATATTTTTCCTCAAAAACCCTATATTTTTTTAAAAAAATATTATAAACATATTATATAACTTTAGATGATATTTGATTTATTAAATAACATTACAAATCTTATGTATGCATGTTAAAAGGAATATGAAAAATGTATATATATATATATATATATATCATATATGGTTAGAAAGACTCGTTTAAATTGAAATCAATCAGTAATATATCAATATAAATAAGGGTAAACTATGCATTTAATATCTAAACTATTAGTTTCGGTCCGTTTTAGTACCTAAATTTTTATTTATTTTTTTCAAAATCATACCTAACATTTAGTTTTTGTTTCATTTTAGTATCCTGTCGTTAAAAACTTAACGGACGGGCTGACATGGCATAGCTTCGATGGACGGACGACCAATCTGAACAGTGGACCACGAGAGAATGACTAGTCTACCAATATAGTCTAGTTTCAGGCCTATCAGACCGTGAACCGTGGAGATCGAAGGATGAAGAAATCGAAGAGCCCATCGTCAATTTGGAGAGATTGAGGCGTTTCTCGGTGAAATGGAAGCCATAATCACGTTTATGGGGTCGAAAAGGTGTGGGTTGGAAAGTTTGGGTTTCATCAGCTGACGGGTGCGAAGACCGGCAAGCTGTCCTTTAAGTTTTTAACGGCGGAGTACTAAAATGAAACAAAAAGAAAACGTTAGGTATGGTTTTGAAAAAAAATGAAAGTTTAGGTATTAAAAATATATCAAAATTGATAATTTAGGTACCAAATACGTAATTTACCCTATAAATAATTACATTTAAATTTGAACATAAACTCAAACAAATGTATTTGATGTCATTGATTCGATTAGACTTGAATTTTTTTAAATAAAGTTAGAATGATAAAAGGACACTCATAAACTCAACTAACACAGTATTTTTCTAACTCAACTAATTCAAAATTTCTCTACATTCTTTCAATCGAATAATCACCCCTACTTTTTGAACTTGCTTTCTCATTTCATCAACTTAAGGGGAGATAAACCCTTACCCAAAAGTCTTATATGGAGAAATTGAACATGTATAAAGAGGTGTCAACAGAGATGAACGAATGAATTTTTAAAAAAAAAAGTGTAAACTAATAGGAGGTTATATTAAAGACTTAAAAATATGAAATTATAAAATTTTACAAGATTTAAAAATAGATAAACAATAAAAAATTAAAATAAATTAAAGAGACAATCACAAAACACCCTCTCAAACTATGTTTATATCTAAGGGCCACTAGTTATTGATGATGGTGTTTTGTGGTCGTTGGTTTCTGTAGAGAATGTATTTATTATTGATGGAGTTGTCACTTTCAAATTCCATGTAAAGAAAGACGTCTCCTTGTAAGCTTTCTTGTCATAATGCTTCATATCAATGTGGTTGGAATTAGATGGACACCACATGAGTCAATGGCCTCATCAAATTTATTATGAGGCCCCTTTAATCTTTTCTAGAAAATTGTTTGGTTCTCACAAGATAATTTTAAATATATTTTATTTTCTTAAAATTATTAAAATTTTATATTAACATATTTTTATAAATTAAATTAGGTTATTATTTTTATGATATAAATTATATATACCACTTAAATTGTCGTGAATAAAATTCACAAATATTGATTTCTCATACAGGTAGAACCTTCAAAACTAATAATAATAAAATTTGCATTTGAAGAAACTAAAATTTGTTATATTCTGAATTTTTGAATTGACGAAAAATAATTTCTTTAAAAATCTCACCTCGTATTTTAAATACTTTAAAGTTCATATTTTATTTCATAAATAAAGGTAAATTATTATTGATTTGTTCAATTTTTAGAATTTTTTTACAACTTGAATGTCAAGATCTACTACTATAATTTTATTTCATTTTATTTGAAGAAAAATTCAAAAAGGAATTTATTGGGAAAAATATATTATAGATCTGCATTTACTTCATAAAATTACAAATTGATATACATGAAATTACGATTAAGTTTATTTTTTATAATTGATGTCATTAAAATAGAATGTTTAGTTCTACAATATTACGATAATCAAGAAGACAACAACAAAAATAAAATAAACTGGAAATAAAAATATCAAGGTTTGCATAAAAAATCATAGTCTCTAATATTTATTTAAAGGACTATATACAACAAAATGAATCTTTTTTAATACGAATTATAACATAATCATGTAGGGGACAGATATACAACAAAATTTGTAGCGTGGGACTTTGTCTCGCACCCTAATCAAGATAAATGATGGGTTGGGCCTCGTACATTCGCATCCACAACAAATCCTCTCCGTTTCTTCTCTTTTACCAAGCAAATCGAACTTTTTGGAATGGAATTAATACGGTTCATATGATCTCAACCTGATAAAAATCCTAACACAACTTTATTAATGGATAAGATGAAATTACAATTACTTTTCATAATTAAATTCAGGCTGAAACAACAGATCGATCTTGTTTCGTTGCTGTAATGGCTGAAACAAAATCATCCAATGCTTTAATGGAAGATCCTTTCTCGTTTCCTTCATCTTTCACAGCTGCCCTTATATGTTGTGCAATTTCTTCAGCTTTTCTCTTCATATCCCCTCCTTTCCCTTCCTTCTCCATCACCATTTCTATCACTTCCTTAACATGTTTACTCGAAATAGAATTCTGAACCCCTCTCGTCAACTCCACCGCCACACCCATTTCCTCCACCAACATCTTCGAATTATACCCCTGCTCCGCTGCAATCGGCCATCCTATGATCTTCACCCCTTGGCTCAAGCTTTCCATCGTCGAATTCCACCCGCAATGGCTTAAAAACGTCCCGGTCGATTCATGCGACAATATCTCCAATTGCGGTGCCCAGTTTTTCACCAACAACCCTCGGTTATTCCGATTCATTCGATCTTCGAACCCTTGTGGTAACCATTCTGATTCGAATTCGGCTTTCGGGTCGTGTCCGAGTGGAGGCCTAATCACCCAAATGAATGGTTTCCCACTGTTTTCCAACCCAATTGCCAGATCCATCATATTTGATGCACTAATAGTGTTTTGAGAGCCAAATGAAATGTAGAGAACTGAATCACGACCATGCATGTCAAGCCATTGAACACATTTCTCAGGTGAAATTCTAGGAGATTTTCTTACACGTTGTACTGTTGAAGATGACTGCAAATTGTTTAGCAATTGTTTTGGCAAAAGTGGACCAATTGGCCAAACTGGAGAATTGGTGTATTTCCTCAGTAAATCAAGTCCAAATGGCTCAATCTCTTCAACTGTGTAACAAAGCCACCCAAAAGACTGCAAACAACATGACAACCGTGGCTGCATACACATGGACAATGGATCGTTCCCATCAGCTTTCCTCATTAATCCATGCAGCTGAGTAACATGAAACTTACATCTTTGAGGGAATCCAGGTAAATTAAACTCTTCATCATCTGTTTTCCGATGCGGGAGATTCAACCAGAAGGAAACGTAAGCCAAAGTACCATAAGCACCACCTGTTGCAAAAACGATGTTCACGGTGTTGGTAGCGTCCGCAACGTCGACTGCCCATCCGAGGAGAAAATCCGATATGATACAAAGAGGGGGCTTCCCTTGTTTTTTGATGATACCTAACAACAAGTCATGGAGTGGGGTTTTGAGTGAAGCGGATGAAATTATGAGTTTACCGATTTGGTTCAACGACAAGTTCTCGGTGTGCTCCGTGCCGGGTGGCAAGCCGTGGTCTGCACCGTTGAATGGAAGCTCGAGTAAGTGGATCCATGGCGGAGAGTTTTGTTGGTGGAGATAATGAATGTTGAGAGGGGTATTGGCAATGGCGATGTTGAAGCCTGTGAGATGGTGGATTTGGTTTGCCAAAGCTAGAAATGGGATAAGATGGCCGTGGGCCATGAATGGGAGCATTACAATGTCAATCTTCTGTTCATCATTGGGATCCATACTTCTCTTCAGGACGAACCACATAATTTTAGGTTAAGACGAAGGAATTTATAATATTTTAACATAAATATTTTATAAAAATTTAGAGTTTAAAAGTATATTATCAATAAAAATTAAAAAATTAATTATATAATAACTTAAAATTTTTAGGAGAACAGTTGTTCCCACCAACTCTTTTGATTCATCTATATTCACCACTAATTTTCATGAGATTCCGCCCTTATTTAAGTATATTTCATATCCTATTTGATTATATTTAACGTTAGTGGAAGTTAATTAATACAATATATACTTTAAGAATGAATACATCAAGTGATTTAAGTGGTAAAGGAAAATGTTATTCTTATCAAAGATCTTGAGTTTGAGTATGCGTTTATATTATCAATTGATTATGAAAGTTCTAAATAGATATTATTTTATAATCATGTAAACTATCAATATATATATACACTTGAAGAACTCAACTAAAGAGAGAAATGTAATTAGTGAATTGCTATAAAAATATCAATAAAGAAGTTGTAAATAGAAGATGGACAGGTATGCCAGTGGTATGAAAGGGGTTAACGTGGACGTTGAAGGCTCCGCAGTCTTCATAAGAGATAAAGATGTGTATATTCAATCGGATGGATTAAGGAGATGTCGAAGACGATTGCATCTTTAATAAAATTTTCGGATGGATTAATAATCTAATTTTAAATTCTTAAAATTTAATATAATTTTCTGAATTTTATATTCGTTCTCAAATGATTAAGTATCCATACTAATAATATAAAATATATTACTAAAAATTCTTTTAAATAAATAATTAGTGTTTGATAAAATCTAATTTAAAATTAGTTTTATATTAATTAATAAATTTTGAGAAATCCCAATGAAGCGATGATCTCATGCTAGTATTTAATTATTATTGAAAGATTTACTGATTATATTGTCGTTCAAAATCTCCTAATAATTAGATTTAGTATTTCTATTACGATAATATTGTGAGATGTATATAATTTTATCTTTTATTCTATAATGGATATTAGAGAATATTATAAAAGAGATCGACATGATCGTAAAATGCTTATCATGATTTATCTCCTAACATAAAAATAGAATATTATGATTCAACTAAAAGTTTTAGCGATGTTGATGACATGATTCAAGAGCATGGAGAAGCACTTGCAAAGATGAAATTATATAGCGATTAAGAAAGATTGTTGCTCTCTCAAAATTTTGGTATAATGGTATTTTGGTTCCGTTTTAATTTAAATATTAATCTCAAAAGATGTTTGTCCCTTCCAATTTTTTAAATTTAAATATTTAATATATTTTTATTATTTTGATATAAAATAATTTTTCTCCCTCAACATTTGATCTTATCTCCGTTAATGGCACAACAATTGAGAACAAAGGATGTTTAGGGAATTTAAACCCATGACAAATCCCTTAAAAGGAATTTCCAAGCGACATTGGCATTATTATGTTCTTAATTGGGTCATTGTACGGTGTTACGATGTCAGAAGATAAATCACGATAAATGTTTTGTACATTACATGATTTTCAGATCTATTTTCTCCTTCTTTTTTTAAAAGATATTTTCTAAGACTTTTTATAGGATAGGGAAAAAACCACTAATATTAATCAGATTATGAATAATTTATGAATAAACATTACAGCTTAAAATTGTTTGCAGGTCTAAATCTTTATTTAGTATTCAAACTAGTGAATACAGATGTTGCGGAAGACGGCTATCGGATAGAGTAAAATCGTAACTGATAATTTGAGAAAATAAAAATGAAGATAAAAAGAGACACAAAATTTACGTGAAAAACCCCTAAATAAAATAGGGTAAAAACCACGGGCAACGGTAGAAGAATTTCACTATGATAAAATAGGAATTACAACTTCTCTCGATCTACCAAGGAGAAAACAATAATAATTCTCTCTTGATAAAAAGAAGAAAACAACTCTTAAGAAACTCTCTAAATTCTCTCTAGTATTGGAAGAAAGCTAGAATGATTTAGGATGGTTTTGAAACCAAATGGGATAGGGTATTTATAGTTAAATCTTAAGGACTTAATCTTGTAAATACACTAAAGTTTAATGACTAAAATTTGTAATTTGACCTTGCTAATTTTCAACCATTTTAACAACCTAATTTGAACCAAAATAGCAGCCGGCTGCTGCCACCTAAATTGACAATTATTTTCAACATCAGACACATAATTTTAAATGAATACATATGAACAAGATTCACTGAAATAACGTACATTTCTTTGGTTATTCAAAGAATAGCTGAAAAGCATGGTGTTCCTATGGAGTTGCACGAATATTAATCGTAGAACATGATCGATCTCGGCCAAAGTCCCTTAGTTTAAGAATCAAATGCACCACGATTCCGGAAAGGAACCCGAGTGCTGCACTCGAGCCAACGAGCGAAACCGCCGTGCATATCAACATTACGAAAGCTTCCCCCTTCGAGTTCATATCTCTGCAGGTCATTGCTAGCTCAATCCCTGCAAATAAAAGCAGAACACCCAAGAGTCCAACGGGAAATTGGTGCAAGATCACCACTAAAGAAGTTCCCAAAACCAAGCCCAACACCATTTTCGCTGCGCCAAGGATCGCCACACACCCGCCACTCCTGCCTCCGAACTTGTACTGTCCGGCTAGTCCACCTGCACCATGGCAGCACGACGGCATGGCACCAAACCAGCACCCCAACAAGTTCATTAGCCCGACCGTTATCGAGACCGAAGTAGCCGAGAATTCCTTTCCTGGAAAAAGGTCAGACGACAATTTGCATACCGCGATCACCGAATTGAGTATTGATAAAGGCAGTTGTGGGACGGTTTCCTTGATGAATCCTTCCTTCCATGCATGCCCTGTTATTTGCACGACGTCAATCGATGACGGTCCGAATTTGATGTGTTTTACCACTGCAGGCCTTCGTATAAATGCCAAGACTACTCCCAACATGAAAATGATGAAAGCTGAAGGAATATTAGCCATGATCCTCCTGATTCTTTTGGTTTTTGAATTTGTTTCTTCGTCGACGACATCGGTCTCTGTCTCGTTTCGTTCCTCACCGGCACCGTTGACAACAATTATGAAACAAGCACAAACGATTGCCAGAACCAATCCATCCAACCCCAACCAATGCCTGTTCCCAATCGATTTCGATTTCGAAAAATCCTGAACTTTTCTAATGTACTTAACTGCACTCATAGCAAATGACAACCCTTGTGCCAACTGAATTCCCCTAACAACAGACAATGGTATCAACTTATACACCAGCTGCATCAACCCCGTAGCACCCAAAACCAACAAGATCCCACCCGTGCAAATCCCGGCCGCCATGATTTCAGGGATATTAAAACCCGAATCCGATATAGCCGCCGCCGCGATTGACTTCATTGGCTGGACAGGCATCGGAACACCGTATATGGCGCCGGTGACGATGTTGTAGGCACCTGTGAAAATCAATGTGGTGCCTAAGTTAAGGTCCTTGGCGAGTGTCAAGGCCAACACAATGGGAGTGTATGTGCCCAAATCTCCCATAGCACCATTCAATTCTGCCCATTTGGACCGGAAAGTTAAGTTTCTCTTCAGTTTATGAGCCATGGTGGGGTTGTTTTCAGTGGTTTGGGGGCTTTGAGACTCCATGGCAATGAAATGCAGCAGTGATTACAGAATGAGAAAGGAATGTTAGGGCTTTATAGCTTGCAGAGGGTGGTGACTTTTTGGGTAAAATACATCATAATCTCACCTAATTATACTCAAATGATCGTTTTGCTCATAAAACTTTCAAACGTTATAAAATAATCAACTCTATCGAATCATCATAAAATGACCAATGCGACATTGTAACAAATGTGAAAGTTTGATAAAACTAGTGATAATTTTATAACAGTTTGACAAAGTTCAATAAACTTTTTATAACAATTCGATAAATGTTAATATCATTTATAACTTTCTAAAGTTCAAATAATCAAAATAATTGTTCAAATATAGTTCAGTAGCCTCTAATATATTTTACCCTAACTTTTACTGTCCTTTAGGTTCACGAGAGGCCAAATATGTGATGAGCATCTAAAATAGTGACCTTAGTTAGTACCGGACCAAGTTCATGTGACGTGACCCAAAAATTTTAAATAATGAAGAATAACAATATATTCCGAAAGTCAACTTTAATATTACAAATAGATTTAATCTTAAACAACATCATTAATTAATTTAATAATCGAGGTCAACTAGAAAGAGTAGTTTTATTGATAAAAAAAGATGATGTATTTTCTTTAGATAATTTAAATTCAAAGAGTTTAATAGGTAAGTATACGTGAGTTTATCTAAATTTTGTCGATAAAATATTGATAAGAGTATAAAAAGAATTCATTGAATTGATAGGAAGACAAAATTTGTAAAGAATTATAATTGGAAGATCAAATTAAATAAAACACAAAGTTGAAAGACTAAATTTTAAAAAGAAAATATTTATTCTTTAAAAAATAAAAATCGAAGTTAAATAGAGATTCTGCTCTAATTAGAAACATGTGGTTCAAATTTGATCAAAATTAACTTAAAATAATGGAGGGATTGATGAAACAAGTAAATCAGGATCAAATCACAAAATAATCAAATTAATTAGTTAAACAACAAAACATCGTTTTGATTTTTTAATTTCAATTATTCAAAAATATTCAAATTGAACTCGATTTATACTCGTAATCCAAACCAAACTTAATTTTTTTTAATATGAGATAAATACAAGATAATATATGTTCAAAAATTCTCAATATTGAATGCTCATACACCCTCGCATACGGGTGTTCAAATTCAAAATCTCAAAAATTAACAAAAATTCTTTAACTGTTGAGGTCACTTAGTTCGTATAGTAACTCAAATATTTTTAATATTCGTTAGTTATATTTTTTTATTTTAATAAAGTTGGAAGAAAATATATTGTTTGTAAAAGGGAATAACATTGAGAGGTGTTTAGGCAATTGAGGTGGAATTTATGCGTCTTTCAAGACGTGGTTGAATCTGTTTTATAGTCATGATTCGATCATCAAAACAACCACTTTTCCCCTTTCAAATTTACTTTACAACCCGCACACCACAATGAATAACTTAAGTCCAATGTGGTTCAAGGAAGGATTGAACTCCAAACTATGGACCTTAAACTCGAATAATTATTATTCACAAATAAAAATTTTATCATTCGTAAGCACCCTAAGAATGAGGGGTCCATATTGATTTTGTTTCCTTGTTTTAATTAAAGGTATTCATGTTTGAATTCTCCTACTTTAGATATTTGAAATATTGAGTAGGGCTGTTCATTCGGTTAATTCGGTGGTCGACCGAACCGAATTACCATTAATCGAGTTAATTGAATTTTTTTTTCTTTAACCGTTATTCGAATCGAACTTTTTTTCGGAAATATTAACCGAACCGAATAAATTTCGGTTAATTCGGTTAATTTTAGAATTAACCAAATTTTTTTAAAATTTTCTAATTTATATAAAAATTAAATATTTTTTAATTAAAAAAACAGTTTATAATTAATTTAAATAATATATAATTATAAAATAAAAATTTTATATAAATTTTTTAATTAATTAATATTGATTTAGGTTTAAAAGTTATTGGATCTTAAATTATTAATTAGGTTTTAAATGGTTTTGGCTGAGCTCATATGTTATATATAATATATTTAATATTTTTTAATTCAAAAAAAAACAGTTTACAATTAATTTAAATAATATATAATTATAAAATATAAATTTTATATAAATTTTTTAATTAATTAATATTTATTTAGGTTTAAAAATTATTGGATCTTAAATTATTAATTGGATTTTAAATGGTTTGGGTTGAACACATATGTTATATATAATATATTTAAAATTTAATTTCGGTTAATTAACCGATTTCGAACCGAATTAACCCTAAACCGAATTCTAAAAATTTTCTTAACTGTTAACCGATCAAACTAATTCGGTGACCGACCGAATTAACCGAATTAATTCAAAAATTTGAACACCCCTAATATTGAGTATCCAAGATTTTCGAGTATTAAAAACCTTTAGCCATGTCCTGACTTATAATAATCAGGTACCCACAAATTTTAAGTACTTACATTTTCAAATCACAAGTATTTATTTCATATTTATTCATTAATTTTTTTAAATTATATTATTTAAAAATACATGAAAAAAATATAAAACTTAACATTTAAAAATGTATAATACATAATCTAAGTACATAATTTAAAAATTCAAAAAAAATATAATTTAGAAAGATAAAACTTAAAAATCCAAAAAGAAAATTGAAAAACACAACTAAAACTAGAATGTTACGAGATTAGAAAAATAATTTAGTTTGTTACGGAAAATAATTTGAAAAATTAAAGATTCTGAATATTATGATAAAATAATTTAAAAATTAAGAATGGAAAATCTAATCTAAAATAATAATAAAATAATCAAGTAGTCAGATATCCGATTAAAAAAAATTATAATAAAAGTCCAACCTGCAAACCCACAAAAATAACAGATCGGATATTCAGTCCGTAAATTTAAATATTTTCCTTCTGATAATTTTTAATTGAATTGATGAGTCAACGGATTATTTTAGGTCGACAGATATTTCGACATCCCTAGTTTTAATAGCAGAAACAAAATAATGCTTTAATGGAACACCATTTTGGTTTACTTCATCTTTCCCATCACCGTTTCTATAGCACACCTAACCTCTTCACTCGAAATGCATCATTCTTGTCAACTCTACGGCAACGCCCCTTTCCTCCATCTTCAAATTATAAGTGTGGTCCGCCACCATCGCCCACCCTACGATCTCCATCAACATCTTCCAATGGTTTAGGCAAAAGAGGCCCAATTGCCCAAACAGGGAACTTGCTGTATTTTCTCAGCATGCAGTTGAGAAACATGAAATTTGCATCTTTCTGGGAATCCAGGTACATTAAATCATTGTAATCCATCTTTCAATGCGAAGTATTAAACCACAACGAAACATAAGCCACGATCTCATAAGCACCACAGGTCAAAAATGTGATGTTTACAGTTCCTACACTATTCGCAACATCAGCACCCCACCCGAAGAACACATCCGAAATAACACAAACAAATTTAACAATGCAATCCAACGTTAAGCTCTTGGTGTTCTCTGTGTCGAGTGGCAACCCGTGGTCTAAACTGTTGAATGGAAGCTCAAACAAGTGGATTCCGAGATTGGGGTCTTGTCGGAGAGTGTCAAACATTAAAAATGAGGAATCCGAACAACAAAGGGGAACACTGTAGCATACAGGCAGCATAGGTACTCCACTCCCATATAAACAGAGGGATACACAGTGAAATAAGTACACAATGCACAAATTATCCAGGGAAGATCGTATCCGACAATCATCCCAAGATTTATTTCTTCCCCATTAATCACATTATTTAAAGAATAAACGTGTATGTCACATTCTTACAAATCAGCAACCAAAATTACCCTCTAAAAAATCTCCATAACCCGAACAAAATAATGTTCCTAAAGAGGTAGAAGACCAGCATTCCGAAAACAACCAATTGGGGAGAATTTCCGAAAAGATGGCAAGATGAAAAAAATGGAAATGGAAGGACTAAGAAAACAACACAAACTAGTGGAGAGGGGGGCATCTTCTGTCAAAGAATAGCCCGACTCACCAGACTAACCAAAATCACAACCTGATAAAGTGGCAAACTTGGAGTTCCCTATGCGGATGAAAGAGTACTTTTTGTACAGAAAATTCCAAGCATATGAACCTAATAACTTCAGGACTGTATGGACCGATGAATGACTTGAATGGACTGGAAAACTAATCATGGTTTCATAGAACCATTTCTAAATGAACAGAAATTATCAATGTACTCAAAGCACAAAACCAAAAATTCAATCCAGAACCGAACTCATGATGGAGCAGCTGCGGCAGAAGCCTTCTCCATCTTCTCCTTTTCAATCTCACCTCTCCTCAGTTCAGCATGCTGAGCAACACCATTTGCAAGAGCTTGATAATGGAGATCCAGAGTCTGCATGAGGTTCTGAAACTTCATAGGATCTGATGCTTGCAAAGCTAAGGGAAAGAAGAAAAAGCCCTCATCTCAAACAATGCTGTGGAAATTTTGACGAAAACAGAAGATGCATGAAAACAAGATTAGAGGCAGTTTAACCATTTACCCTTGACAATATCTACAAAGAAAAGAAAAGGGTCAACATCATCAATTGGTGACTGCATCTCTTCATCATCACTAAAGTCATCATCAGAGTCATATTCGTCATCGTCCTCATCATTTCCACGGAAAGCTTTAGCCTACAAAGAAAACATGGTCAGGTGGAGTGAGATAAAGGATTGCAAAGTCCAGGCAGAGACCCATTCCTGAAAGAAAGTATATTCTAATAGTACATACATGGATATGTGCTAAGATACAAGCTCATTAAAGAAGTCCCATCACAGGATTAATATTAACTTTCAAAGTTTGTCATTCTAACAGTCCTTTCCAAGCAAGTCATTGGTACCAACATTCCGAGAATCCTCCATCCCATCCACATGATACCATACATTTCCCCATGGGCATATTTTCAGGACTTGCAACTTTTAACTGTGATATTTATGATAGAATGGAGTATACAACTTTAAGGATCAAAATCATGCATACCTGGGCAGCTAATTT